CACCCGCCCGCGCACAAGACCGTTGACGAGCTTCTGATCCACCGCAGGAAAAAGAAGCTCCGCATACGCAAGGCCATCAAGATCAGCGGCATTACACTTGTCGGCGGCATGCTGTTCGGCCTCACAGGCGGCCTCATTGCCCCGGCCTTGTTGTCCGCCCTGGCTGGTGTCGGCGTTGCCAGCGCGGCCGGCCTGGCTGCGTCCGGCACCCTGGCGTCTGGCGCCGTTGTCGGCGGCTTGTTTGGCGTCGCTGGTGCAGGCTTCACGGTGAAGAAGGCCCGCAACAGGGTCAGCACTAACTTGGAGGAGTTTGATTTCGAGCGCCCGGATGACCCGCGCGTGGTCGACACGCGGAAGAAAAAGGCGGAGCGCGAGCGCTTGAAGATGGAAAAGCTTATCGCCCAAAGGTTGAGAGAAGAGGCGGAAGCCGCCGGCGTTTTGGCCATTGAGGATGCCCCAGAGAAGGATAGCAAGGCTTTTGACCCAGAGAAGGAGCTCCCGCACCCACCGTCGCTGAGCGAAGATGAGTTTGATGACGAAGCGGAGAGCAAGAAGCATCGCCGCTTTGGCTCGAAAAAGAAAAAGAAACGGCAGAAACTCAAAGTCGGTTCACGCGGACTCGAAGCAGCAAGTCATTTCCCGAGCCTTCACGTCTGCATATGCGTGCCTTCATGGCTAACAGACCGATCTTTTGGAGCCGCGTTGGACCAGTTTGAGCCCGCATTGAAACAAGAGCTCCCCGCCTCACAACACATTGCTTTGCGTTGGGAGTCGAGAAGATTGTACGAAATGGGGCTGGCATTTGCAAAGTTTTGGGCCTCCAAAGCAACTGTCACTACAGTGCAGCAGGCCTACCCACATGCCGTTGCTGCTGCCTCCTCAGTTGCTGGAGCTGTCGCGTTTGCGTTTGCGATGCCTTTGACAATCATGTCGTGCATGGATTACGTCGATAACCCGTGGTCTATTCTCGTTTCACGGTCGAACGGAGCTGGGGAGGAGCTCGCAGATGTTCTCGTCGAACGCAGCTACGGAAAGAGGCCTGTGTCGCTGTTTGGGTATTCAATAGGGGCGCGGGTGGTCTTCAAGTGTCTAGAGTCGTTGGCAGAGAGAGGGGCGCTGGGTATTGTTGACAACATCTACGTCATGGGAGCAGCAGTCACGGCCGATCCAGAGCGTTGGAAGAAGATACGACCAGTTGTTGCGGGTCGAATAGTCAACGCTTACGGTTCCTACGACTGGGCCCTTGCCTTTTTCCACAGAGGGTGCGGTCACGGCGTCTACGTATCTGGTCTTCGGAGGGTTGAGCTCGAGGGCGTAGAAAACTTGAACATGTCCTATCTAGGAATAGAAGGCCATCGAGAGCTGAAAGACTGTGTACCTCGCGTGATGAAGGCAATGGGTCTCGGTCTCGGTTACATTATCATGCCACCAGCCAGGCTCGTACGTCGACGGGGCCGTAGGAGAAGCAAGACCCGTGGTGATTCTCCTGTGTGTGAAGAGCCCAAGCGACTTGACAAGAGCGAGAAGGCTGGGTCATCCAGCAGTAGTCCATCGGAGAATGGAAGCAATCAGCACCTTAATGGCATGCGAAATGACAGGTTTTGGAAATCTGAAAGTCCCGAGGATATTGCTGCAGAAACGGAACTTGAAATTGATCAAAACCTGTCACTGCCTCCTAATGTAGAATCCCAAGCCCCATCCGATCGTGCGGGGACGCTTAACGAGGGAACGGTTTCAATTGTAGATATGGCTGTTATTGACGGAGAAAAGCTTGCGAAGAAGAAAAAGTCCAAGTCATGGCTCTCTTGGAACGCATGGACTGGACATAGCAGCAAATCTTCGAGCAAGTCAAAATCGAAGAAGCTCACAACGGAAGAAGCTCGCAGTGAGGAGCTGCATGGAACAGGTCAAGACGCGGTTACAGCGAACTATCTACAAGCGGATTTGCCTAGTGAAGATGCCCGCTTGCCGCGTATAGAGGAAAGCGGACCAACCATGAACGATCCCTATTCTAGTACTTCTCAACGCGACGACCAGTATGCTTCTACCAATACAGAACTCGACAACTTTGATGAAGACGATGTGGGCCTTCCTGACGACGACGATGAGAATGAAGAGGAATTTGATTGGGAGAAGCAACGCCGGATATGGGAAGAGCAGGAGCGACAAATCCAAGAACGAGGATTTGCAGACTCTGCAGCGGAAATTGAGATGAGCCACAAGATGATTTTGGGTGTGGGGATAGAGGTGGCGGGCAGGCGGATACACGGTTATCTTGAGCAAGACGCAGACCTCCCTGTTGCGAAGAAGGAAGAACTATTTACTAACTGCTTAGAAGATCAGCGAGGCGTGGTTGTGCGCATATATGAACACGAGAAGAGAACTAAGTCGGTATCGCTGAACAACCTGAAGAGCGACGAGCAGTATCCGAAACTTTTGGGTGAGCTTGAACTGAAACTAAGGGAATCAGCTGTGAAGGGAAAGCTTCGCATTGCTGTTGCGATGTCGACGTGTGAAAACGGAGATGTATATGCGGAGGCAGAGGAACGGTTCCCGGACGGAAGTATTGGGGATAAAACGGAGCTTCTTGTGCGGAGGGCGGAGCTTTGTACGATGGCGGAACGCACTCGCTTAGAAGCAGCGGAGCGGAAGAGAATTGAAGCCCAGCTGCAAAAGGAATTGCGGATTCGAGCCGGACCTGAAGCACTCGCTTTACCGCCGGCTGCTGAGACATCGATAGAGATCTCAAATGAAAAGAATCGCCCCGAGATTGAGGAACCAGAGTTTGGAAACGAGAAAGCGGATTCTAATTTGAGAGAGGGAGGAGGTGCTAAACCAGTCGACGGTCATATACAGGACTCGCAAACGCCAGGTCCTCGTGGAAAGTCGGAAGAGGATGTAACCCAGGCATGTTGATGTTGATACCGTACGAACTTATTCAAAGACCCTGTGCTAACTATGTACATAAACCAACTTACAGTAGATTAAAACAAATCAATACCGCTGGAGCGATTTTGTTGTTATAGTGCCGTAGGTATCACACATGCTCGAGAGTAGAAGCGCTGCAGCCTGACCAGTGGTCCACGATGACGTTTTATAAGTACAGGGGGGGGGGTCGCAATATAGTGCTACCCTATGTTAGTGGGCCGAAAACAGCACTATATCGAACCAGGCACTGTAAGATAATGAAATTTACGGCTTTTTGCAGCCACTTCCTTGCATCACTGCTCAGAAAGACCGCTCGCAGGACGCCATCACTCATAATGTCTGTACTTAGCATCTCCACTACAGACTCAAGTCTAATCAAGCATTTCTGTTACAGTACCAAGGGTACTAGTAACTGCCGAGCCGTCGCATTGACTTTCTCCTTTTTCGCAGCCATAAATGCCAGCCTACCTTTTGCAGATGTCCAATTGCATAATCTACCCTGCTTTTTTCTGTCATAGCCTCTATTCGAATTAGCAACTGCATAATATGTTTCCGCGGCGGCAGCGGCTCTCGGGCGGTACGTCCATCCAACTGCCTCTCTGGAGACCGTTCGTTTTTGGCTCAAAATTCGTGCTACCCGCAGAAGGGTAGCACTATATCGGAGCTGGCACTAACAAAGATAGCACTATATCGCGACCCCCCTGTAATAGATACAGAACGATTTATAGTGATCATACCAGTTGTATTTGCGCATTTTAAACCCACCAATGTCAAAGCAGATATCGTAGCGTTTCTCAAAGCTGTGAAACTCTTCTTAATCTTCCGCTTATCCCAAATAGTACACGGATAACAGGATTTAGTATGGGCTAGACTAATTTACAGGCCTATTTTCAGCACCTTGGAACATAATTTAGCATGGCCTACTCTAATTTGGGTACAGTGCCTCCTACGATATAGTGCTATAGCGTGACATACCTCTAGCTATGGCACTATTGGGGGTATGGCACTATATAAAGGAGGCTCAAATACATATATTTGGGGACAAAGCACACTGCTACACAAACACAACAAAGCCTGTATAACACAACTAAATAACTTCATCCTTTGAGTACTGTACTGTTGCGGCTAGTCCAAGCCGCATACCTCACCGATCGCAGACGCAGCAGGATCTGAAAGTAGTCCTCGAGTTTACCTCCAGCTCGCCTGTAGCTTCTTCGATACCTTTCCTACATGCGCGTCGCGTCTATCTTATACTCCCGATACCCGCCGCCCTTGGCGGCCGTTCCGTCCCCCAAGTCCCGTGCCGGCACCAGCTGCCACCCCCCGAGACTCGGGCCGTTGCCTCAGCCCCTCCGTCGCGATCTCCTGGTCTTCTTAAGTCTCCTGTCCTCTCCGATCTCGCCGTTCTCCTTGGCGCACCGCCGAGCCCAACGTTATGCCCACGTCCAACGTCTTGTCCGCGCTTCCGCCCGACACCTCCCTTGGTTCGGGCGGCTCCTCTCAGCGCCTTGTGTCAGCCTCCAGCCCAACGACACCACAGGGTCCAAACGTTCTCGTCCTCCCGCAACGTCCTCGCTTCCCCGCAACGTCCTCGCTTCCCCGCAACGTCCTCGCCTCCCCTAGATTCCCTCACCCGACAGTGTCGGGGTGTGCCGCGCATTGAACGCCAGGCCATAGGCTGCAGCTCTCACGTGTACCACGTGTCGCGTAGAAATCAAATTTGAATCCGCAACACCCGTCCCTTTTCCTATGTCCCTGTGCGTCAGTTCGCGGAGCAGGACTATGGCGGGAGCGTTCCCTCTCGGCTATGCTCTGAACCTGGTACAGCAGTCCTCCCCAGCCCCTGTCTGGCCGCGTCGGTGCCTTCGCTTCGATCCTCGCGGCCTACGTGGCCCTGCCGGTCATCATACAACTTCACAATTGCCTCCGGGAGTGCGGCTTCCGGCGTCCATCTCGGGGACGCGCGCCCACGGAGCTGCACTCTGAACCACCTCTCGGACCCTCCCGTCTTGGGGCACGGCCTATCTTTTACGACAGTGATCCTATCCAATAGCCTCAGCCCGTCCGGAAAGACACCTTCTTTCGGATCCGCAGTCTGGACGGCCTCCTGTGAGATGCGTCTGATGCGGTTTGGGTGCACTCGTGCGCTTATTCTTCCGACTTCTGAACGTAGACAGTAGCTCACCTTCGACAGTTTTCGTTCCACCACGTAGGGTCCAAGCCAGGAGGGAACTATCTTGTTTCCCTCCTTGCTGACGAGGTCAGGGGCCCACACCATGACGCGATCCCCTGGCTTTAGTCCTAGATCCCTCACCACGCGGTCGTACTGAGCAGCCGCGTTCCTGCGCGCTTTCATACCTTGCGCCAGAAGCCTCGAGTGGAGCTCCTTGAGGTGCCTAGCGGTGCTGTAGGGCTCCCCCATTACCCGGTCGGCCTCCACTTCTCCCCACGCTACAAACGCCTCTATCCCGAACATCGCCTCAAACGGTGATAACTGAGTCGCCTCGTGTACTCCGGTGTTATATCTCAGGCAAGCCAGGGAGACGTGGAGGTCCCAGTCGTCTTGTCCGGTGCACACAAAGCAGGCTATATCTTGCGCGAGCGTCCTATTCCATCGTTCCACGCACCCGTTCGCCTGTGGGTGAAACGGGGAAGTCGTTACCCGCTTCGTGCCCAGCTGCTCGGCCATGTTCGACACTACCTTCCCGATAAAGTTGGGGCCTCTGTCACTCAGAAGTGTCTCCATGGCGCCGAAGATTGCCACCCACTCATCAAGGATCTTTCTCGCCACAGTTTCCGCTTTCTCATCTGGGATAGGCGCCGCGCGGGCAAACCGCGTGAAGGTGTCAATCATCACGAGGACCTTGATATTGCCAGCCTGAGTCCTTGGTGTTATTGTTTGGACATCGACTGCCACCTGCTGAAACCGGCGGCTGGGTTGGTACACCACCATTGACGCACCTCGCCCTGGCCTCGCCGCTTTTACCGCGGTGCACGCAACGCACCGAACGATTCTCGTCCTGATGTCTCTTCTCCATGACGGCCACCAGTAGCGCCCTCTCACTCGTGCTTCAGTCCGCCTGAGTCCGTAGTGGCCATTAACGCGGGACCCGTGTACAAACTGCAGCACCGATCCCACCAACCGGGGCGGCACCACCAAACAGCAGCCACCACCGGGGCCGGCTGGCCGGAAACCGAGCAGGCCCTTGTCAGTCACTTCGAACCTTCTAGCCCCACCAGCCCCCACCCACTCAGTAGAGTCACCGAAAGCTTCCCATTGGGCTGTCCTGAACTCTTCTGCCGTGGGTCCTCCTCCGATGGCCCCGGCAGCCACGACGGCCCCCACAGTCTCCACGTCCTGAACTTGCTTCTCCTGGCCCTCCAGCGGTGCGAAGCAGCGCTGGCACAAAGGTTTCTCGACGGCGTCCCTGCTCAGCGCGTCAGGGACTACCAGAGCGGACCCCGGTGCATACTGTACGATAAAGTCGAAGTCCTGGACTTCGACCATCCAGCGGGCCAGCCTTCCTCTCGGCTCGCGCAGGCTCATTAGCCATTTCAGAGAGCAATGGTCGGTAACTATGGTGACTTCCTTCTCACCGTGCAGGTAGGGACGCCATTTCCTGAGCCCGTGGACCACGGCCAGGCATTCGCGTTCGGTCACAGTAAACTTTTTTCTGACTCTGAAAGCTTTCTGCTTGTGAAAGAAATGGGACGCCATCTTCCATCGGCCTCCTTCTGTAGCAGCACTCCCCCCAGTCCGTACGAGCTGGCGTCAGTCATGGCCTTCTTGGCCGCTCCCCTTCGCGGGGGTACGAGAAAGTCCGGGTTACTGAGCACTTTCTTGAGATCCCCCCATGCCGTCCTCTGGCGCCCTCCCCACCTCTGATCCCAGTCGCTTATGACGAGGCGGGCTCCTCGCTTCTTTCTCCGATTGAAGCCGGTGCCTTTGAGGACGGCGTGCAGTGGCCTGGCGATCTCTGCGAAATGGTCAACAAATTCGCTGAAGTAGTTTACCAGTCCGATAAACCGCATCAGCTCCTCCCCGTTACCTGGTTCCACAAGATTCTTGATCGCCTCAACATGTGCTGCTGATGGCTTGATGCCGTGTTCGTCGATGCGGTGTCCTAGTATCTCAGCGGTCCGTACGCCGAATTGGCATTTCGAGAACTTGAGGCGGGCGCCTGCGTTGAGAAAGCGCTCCAGGACTGCCTCCAGGGACTGTAAGTGGGCTTCGGCAGACTCCGTACCTAGGCTTACGTCATCCATAAAGGCCCACACGTCCCTTCCCTTTCGATCGCCAAGAATGACGTTGATTATGCGTTGGAAGGCCGCTGGGGAATTCTTCAGCCCCTGCGGCAGCCTGAGATACCTCAAAAGCCCCATCACTGTGCGCACCGCTGTGTAGTCTCTTGACTTGTCGTCCAACTCAATTTGAAAAAAGCCGTCTTTGAGGTCTATCGTAGAGAAAACGCGCTTGCCTCCCATCCAGTCTAGAGTCGCGCGGACGTCCTCTATAGGGTAGCTGTCAGTGACGGTTACCGAGTTGAGCCCCCTAAAATCCGAGGTGACTCTAGTCGATCCGTCCTTTTTCTTGACAAACACGTTACAAGCTGCCCATGGCGACGTCGCGTGCTCGACGACTCCCATCTCCAGCAGTCTTGTCATTGATTCCCGTTCCACCGCTTCCTCCTTTGGCGAGCGCCTCCGGACTGGGCAGCAGACGGGTTGGGCATCGGGAAGGAGCTTGATCTCGTGCTTGACCCCCTTTATGCGCCCGAGCCCCTTGAAAACCTCCCTCTGCCGCCACAACACCGCCCGTAGTCGCCCCTGCATCTGTTCGTCGGCGTGGAAATTGGTCAAGTCCATGTCGGTTATTGCGTCGTCGATATCGGCGTCGCGGATGGCAGCCGCGAGTTCCAACTGCGTGCCGTTACTGTCCTCCCTGCGTACACTTCCTCCAATGCGACGGTCGTGCACCCGTATCTTGGCCGTGTCCGTAGCCAGGTTGAGCTGCAGGCCATACTTCGTCCAGAAACGGGAACCCATAAGCATGGTGCTGGGGAGGTTGGCAGCGACGCGT